TAGCAGAAGTTCCAGAATACTGGAAAGCCTTTAAAAAATCTTTAATTTCCTGCCATAGAATTCAAGATAAAGGAAGAAAATGACTCTTCATTAATCTTGTCTTCCTTTCAGAGGGACAAAACATAGAACCCAAAATTTGTCTTTCAGGCTTTCAGTCTCTCTTTAAAATTTGCCATCAGCAGGAGCCAGGAAACATGAAGAGGAGCAGCAACATTAATCCTGGGTCTGCCTTCTCTATGAATTGCCTACACAAGCCCTTAATTATTACATCAGATCAGGACAAAAATAGAGATATGGTAATGAAATCCACCACAATGATTATATTCTGACACATTACCTAATTTCTGAACATTTTTAAGTTTACTAACCCATCATCTTTACTCCTCAACAGTTTTGAGAAGTTTTAGACTTCCAGGCAGAGCCTTTCATCATCTAAACATTTTTCTTTGAACTGTTTTATCTGAGTGGGTTTGAACAAAGAAGCATGAGTATCAGGACTCTTTCCTTTTTGTGTTTTCACAGAAAAAGACAGGGTGGGATCCCACTACTACACCCAAATAAAGTGGACAGTGTCAGGGCATGAGCTGCAAAATGTTATCACCACAGCAGGCCTCACTTTATCCTGCACTGGCAATTTTCTTCTTTCCAGGAAAAGAAGAGTGATAAATAGTCACAAGACAGACTTCATTAGAACAATACACTATTTACTTTGATGAGAGACTGTAAACACAACAGACTACATACATATTTGCTATACAAAGTAACTCTCCATTTTCCATACACAAGTTCTATCAAATGTGAGCTTTACTAGACTTGTGGAGCCTACAGAATCTTGTTCATTTGGCTCATCACAGCTCCCTTGAGCTTTGCTCCAGGGGCTGTGTACTTTAAAACTTTATCTCACTTTTTTATTTTTTAATTATTCCCTTCTCCTAGTCTCACCTCCATCCTCCCAGAAATTAAATTACTTTAAAAGTTTGCTTTCCTTTGATACCTTTCCTTCTGATCTCCAAGCATTGGCAAGATGACTTCCAGTTGAAAACAAGAGACATAAACCACTTCTATGCAAATCCTGTATCATATTTCACCCTTAAAACAAGCCAAGAAAAACATTTAGATCTATATGCTGTTTTCCCACTTATTTTCCCTAGTAATTGAATCACAGAATGATTTGGGTTAGAACAGACCTTAAAGATCATCTTGTTCCACCCACCTGCCATGGAAAAGGACACCTTCCACTAGACCAGGTTGTTCAAAGCCCCATCCAACCTGACCTTGAACACTTCCAGGGATGGGGCAGCCACAGCTTCTTTGGGCAGCCTTTTCAGTGTCTCACCACCCTCACAGTAAAAAAATTCTTCCTCATGTCCCTCTTTCAGTTTAAAACCATTGCGCCTTGTCCTTTCAATAGCTAAAGCCATGATAACACAGAAAAAGTAAATGCCTCTATATAATATGCATGATTCCAAAATGTTTTTAGAACACAAAGAATGTCAAGTTCTTAAGAATTAATCTAATTAAAGCTGTGGTACAGGAAATGGTCATCCAAGATTTAAACTTACAGGCTGCAGGCAGCACTCCTGTCTTTACATCAGTTTTGTGGTTAGAAAATTTACAACCTTAGTACATTTTTCATAAAGTCTCACTCCGATTCCACACACCCCCAGAAAGCTGCTGAACTACTTTCTGAACCATGCTCCCAGATCACCTTGAAGCAAAGTTAATACTTTGGTCACAGCAGTAGCTAAGTTTTAATTAAATTTTGGTTATGAATGTTATTTTCAGAATAAAACAAGCTGTCAGACAAACATAGCATACAGAGGTGTCCTGTTCAGTCAACCACAGAAACACAGGGAATCCGCAGTTCATGAACTTCCTGAAAGGTAGGTGACATCCTGATCACTGCTCCATGCCTGTTTTCCTTTTATTTTGCCTAATTACTTTTGGAACTCATTTGTACATTTAGCCATAAACACCACAGCAGTTCTACATGTGAATGATACCCAGTGTGAAAGGAAATGCCACCATCATTGCAGATCTGCTGCCTGGTAATTTCATTGAGTGCCCCTTTCTTTCTAGCTGCTGGGAAGTAATCACTCAGGCTCCACAGTCTGGTGTCCAAAAGAAGCAGACCATATAGAGTTCTGACTCTCCGTGTTGAATTTATATAGTAATGACCACATTTTCTGCCACAATATCCTACAAGACAGTGGTAAAATGAAGGCAGGTCTCTGCACCAGTAAAGCTGAAGCATTTCCTACAGTTAAGAGCAAAAAACATGCGTGTGGCAGCTGTCTGTTATGGGATCTAGAGGAATGAGTCCCCCAACCCTGGTCTTGGGAAGAGCACTGGCTGTCAGCAGCTCCCAGGGCTTTTCTCTGAGGCCTGGCTGTTCCTGCTGCATTGCTTCCTCAAGCAACGAAAAAAGCTTGATTCCTGTGAAACCCAGTGAAAGCCTTTTCACCTGTGTAAGTTTGTCAGTAAGCTGAAAGTACCCCACAAATCACTAGAGATCTGAGTGTGTAGGCAGTGGTCAAAAAAGTAACAAAACACAACAGTACAATGGAAATTTTGTTTCAAGACTCCTGTGGTGTAGTTGAATGTCAACACTGAATTGCTTCTATGAGCTTTAGGAGAAATGCAAGATGATGGCGTGAGAGGTAAGAGAAAGGAAGGTCTAATGAAGTTACAAACTTGACAATTCTGTACTTATCAATGCTCCTATCATATAAAATTTAATTGTGTTTCAAGGAAAACCAAGACAGCATAATAGCTGAGAGATTTTGCTCCTTAAATAGAAAAGTAAGCTTAAACATTGTTATGGAAAATTAATGCTTCTCATACACTTTAGTTCCTTTATTTTTAATTCTATTGTAAGTTAAAACCAAACTTGTAAATTTTCCCTTCCCCAACAGAACAGAAATTTATAACAGATCATCTTATTTCTAAGAAAAGTATTTAAGCACGCTGAAAACAACTCTTTGCAGCTATGTGTAGATATTGCACTTACATTATGGGCACAGGGAGCAGCCTCGTTTTGTCCTAAACTATTTGTTATCAGTTGAGTCCAGAACCAAACCAACAAGTATATTAAAAGCAGTAAGGAAAGAGAACAAAACCTGTGACTCAAAGATAAATGCTAGTCTAGGTTTATCTGAGAAACAATGAAATGCAGCTTTTGAGTCAGCTTTTCTCTCAACATAGAATTAACACTGTAATGTTTCTGTTCTGTGAGTGATGAAGCAACTGCCTCTTGGAAGCACGAGTGTGATAGTCACGGGTGGCATCCCAGGTGCCCTCACACCAAGCACCTTGAGAACTGTTTTCAGGTTTCCTAATGACATCAGCCTACCCTTGAGTGGAAGAAACAACAGGAGCAGGGCTTGGATGCAGACACCTAGAAAGGGCACATAAGGTGGGATAAAGCAGTACTTTCCCAGGATACTCTTCCATCTGCTAATAATGCTAAGGGACTCTGCGAGCCAAAAATGGTGTGTGTCTCTGGGAAATCTTCAGACTTCTGCCATCAATGCACCCTAAAAAAACCGAACCCTGAACACCCCATGCCCACCGTGGCTGACAAGCTCCAGGACCTGAACACTCTCCCCTGTGCTGTGGAAAGCTACCTCAGCTTCTCTGCTTGGAAGCTGCCCCTTCCCAGTTTTACCTGGTTTCCCCTCGAGAGTCACGGAGTGGGGGAGTCCTCGCTCACCCCTTACCCTCCTCCCACTCCCACCTCGGCGAGCACCGAGCCTGAAGGGGCAGCATTAAACACTCAGTCGCTCACAACACGCACCTGGAAGTCAGGAGTTGCTGAGGGGAGCGAACCTCTCCTGCCTCCAGCATCTCTCTCACCCGCCTCGGTCCGGGAGGCAGGCCCGGAGGGGACGGGGGTGGGAAGGGAACGCGCTTTTTCCTGCCACGGCAGCGGACAGTGAATCCAGGGAAGACAGCGGGGCTACGGCGCTGCCCAGAGAGAGCGCAGGGGCAGCGGGAAGGGTTGAAGAGCTGTTCCAGGTACTCGCCGAGACCGCGCACGAAGCACCGCACGAACCGCGGCGGCAGCGAGCTCAGGCTGCCCGGACCGCCGAGCGCCCGCAACCCACCCGCGATGAGAGCGAAACACCAGCGCGGCGGGACCCCGGCACCACTCCGCCCCAGGCTGTGCCCGAGGGGCTCCCCAAGCCCCCCGACGGCCGTGTAACCACGCCCGCAGCCCCTCACCTCCTCCTGTCCCGCCGGGGTGTCCCTCGCCGCCCCCGCCATGGCACCGCGCACATCCCACCCCGCCCGACACCTGCGCGCCCGGGGCGGGGCGGCCGAGGCAGAGCGGGCGGTGTGACCCTCCCCGACTCTCGCAGAGCCCGGAAGGTGCTGCTGGCGCTGTCACCCCGGACTGGGAGAGGGGATCCCCCGCCCCGCCGAGCCCCGACACCCTGCACTCTCCACGGGGCAGCTCCCGCAGCGCGGTGTTCCAGGACGGGGCACGGCGGAAGGTGCCGGGGCTGTTCTCAGCCACAGCCCAAAGATGCCAGCTCTGTCCCTTCCAAGAGATGCGCTGTTTCCCGATTCACGCGGATGTATGACCGACGCCGTCGTTTGTGAGTTGGACGGAGATCACGCAACACCCGCCCGCCCTGCGGGAAGAGTCGCTGCTAGTTCTCCCACTAGGAAGAATTTCTTCACAGAAAGGGTGATTAAATATTGGAATGGGCTTCCCAGGGAGGTTGTGGAGTCATAGTCCCTGGAGGTGTCTAAGGAAAGACTGGACGAGGCACTCAGTGCCATGGTCTAGTTGACAAGGTGATGTTCGGTCACAGGTCGGACTTGATCTCAGAGGTCTTTTCCAACCTAATTGATTCTGTGATTCTGCTGCCCTCCAGCCAATACCCTTATCAAGGCTGTAGGAGTTCAGCACCACCCTGCCCACAGGAAAGTGCTCTTGCAAGCATGCTCTGCACCAGAGGTAAAAAAATACAAATTACATTTTGGAGTATGAATTCTTTCAACAGTGAGACAGCCTGAAAGAAGGTTTAATGAAGCCAACAAAGACCGGAGGACTTGTGACCTGCCTGTCTTGGGAAGATGACGACTAATCTATATGCACAGGGCTTTGTGGCTTGACTGATTTGAAGAGCTCTCTGCAGGGTCACCTTGTGAGTACTGGGCAGCCACCGCAAACCATGCCATAAAGTACTGACGTGCAAATCCTGTGCAGTCTCATTTCACAAGACTAATTATTGCAAATTTGCAAAATACTTAAAAAATGAGGCATTATTTTCTTAAAACCAGACCTCCAACAGAAAACTGAGATTACAGCCTTAACAGGCCTTGTTGAAAACTCTCTGGAGCTTTTGGGTTCCCAGGTGGTCCTCAAAGGCTGAGGCCAGATGAGCTTCAAAACACAGACAGACTGCCCAGTACCAAGCTAGATACAAGGTATGCATCTAACATTGAAATTCAGCATTTAGGTTCTCCATTTTCTCTTCACACATCATCCTTGTAACACACTAAATCTTTGTTACTTCCATTTGCATGTTTCTTCACAAAGGGAAAACCAACAGGGGAAAAAACAAAATTTCCTTTCTTTGTTCTTTTCTTGGCTATCTCAATTTTGCTGTAAATCATGTTAATGCACAGGCTTTACTCAAAACAGCAAAGGTTTGCGAAGAAACAATGAATAACTGATAGTACTTGTGTGTTTCACAAACTCTGGCATTGATCAAGCCAGTTTTACTGTTGTCTGACCAATGCACAATAGCTGTCTACAGCACAGAGCAAGAGATTAGGCTGTCCAGACACTACAGGTAGCTAATCAGTCTTTACAAGCTGACAAAAACCCAATTAGATTCAGGAGAGCCCTGTATTCACTCCAAAGATTTTCTCCAAGTTAGGAAATAAGTTATCCAATCACAGTTCATTGCCTTTTTTAAAGGCACTTTCTAATCTAACACAGGATTAGTGCAGTCAGCATCATTTTAGACTTTTCAAAGATTTGTTCTTTGTCATTTTGTAATTAGGATCATGACACTTTCAAACTGCAAATGCACACTCAAGTACACCAAAGCTTTAGCCAGACACAGCTGATTTCAGTAAAGCACAATATACAGCAAGGTAGAACCAAGCTGTGCAATCTCTTAAAATGCTGGCACCAGACACGAATCAACATTGAAATACAAAATACTTTCCAAAGGACAGCAAGCAAAATGGGTTTACCTACAATTTGACACTCCCCCCCATCGATTTCAATCTGACACTAATTATTTCTTTGAATTTCTGTGCTACCAATGCTTGAATAGTACACTGTTACTTTGACATTTCATGCACCTTTTAGATAAGAACTGAGCTCGCTATCAAGCACGTGTGGTTTTCTAACACTTATTTTTACATTAGGACAAATTCAAAACCACTGATTAATAAAATTCACTGTTCAGGAAGCTCTGAGAACTTAGGGTTGGATCTGAGTCTGTAGGTGGTTTGTCTTTACAGTTTTACTACTGGATTTGTCTGCACATTTCTTCCTGTTTTTCACATGGGTGGGGAGTCAGTGCAAGAGCCAAGAAAATTTAGTTCTACTACCTGCTACACAAACTCAAATGACACAGTAGCACATGAAGTTTACAGCACTGAAATAGTGAACTGCATGGTTTTCAGAGATTTGCTTTCTAAGAACACTGAATAGATTTTTGTGCAGTTGACTTTGATTTCACTGTCCTCAAACACACCAAGAGAGATGCTGAGGCAAACCAGTTTTATATCCCTGGAAATGAAGTAAGTACACCCATAGTTTGAAGTCTCCCAATTTTCAGATAGAATACAAGTCACTCCAATGAAGCAATTTTCTATTTAGAACAAAACCAGCAAAATCCCAAACCATCTTTCATTTAACCACGCAAAAGAAGTACAACCCCAACAATCACCCATTGTCTTACATAGTACAGATTAGTCAGCATCTACCAAAGGTCCTGAGATAAGTCTTACCTAGAGACTTTAGTTCCATTCACAAATCCACATGCTTAGTAAACACAGTACAAAATATTTAGTCTTTATGTTGATTTCTCTTTTAGGAAAACATGGAATAGTTGGCTACAATTTTTATGCCTCAAGTACATGAATAGCAAAATAAAAGATATGGGTGGAAATGGGGCAAGGGGGGGGGAGAAAAACCTCAGTTTTCAAATAAGGATTTTCAAGATCTTTGAAACTTGGCTATGTGTAATTAGTGTCTCAATCAGCTGGTCAGTTCAGGGCAGAGGCAGATAAAGAATACAAAAACAACTGTAAGCCACTACTCCTGTATGCCAGTGCCACAAAAGCAGAAGGTTTTGTGTGACAAAGCTAAAAGTGGATCTCTATGCTAATGAGCTAGGTAGTTTTAACATCACCTGATCTGTAAGACACCCGTAGCAGCCCAGAAGAGGCAGAAACCACTTCAACCATTGGTAATAACAATTCCTTCAGAGCTTACTTTGAGGCACTTCATATGCAGTATGCACCAGACTACCTCATTTCTATCCTCTCACACATACACCTACCATCATGTACAGACTTGACAGAACATTATTACACTGCAGATCTTGTGATAAAAGTTAAATCCCAAAGATCCTGAAGATTTTCAAGTTAAGAGTCCAAATGTGAGTTCCCTGCAGCATCTGTTGTCTAAAAGTTACTGTGAGAAGAACGCAACCTGCAGCAGTTTACACCACAATGTAAGTGAAATGCTTCAGTTTAGTCCAAAGTGCAAAAATAAATACTATTTTTCCCTAAGAGGTGCTATCAGTAGTAATTAAGTCTCAGAGAACTGTTCCATCTAAACCCATTCATTAAATAACTACGAAGCCTTTTATCTAAGTAAATTCTAAGGATGATCTGCTGTACAGTTACCTCTGCTATGTTATACAGCCAGGCTCTGACCACCCAGTCTAGCTGAAAATACTTATTACAGCAGATGATAGCACAGCACCCATACTGCTCTCTAAGAGCACAGTGCATGAGGATGTGAGGGCATCCACATATTGCTGGTTACATTTTTGGTTTTGCCTAGTTTCCCCTGCATCTAGTTTTTGGCCAGTTGAAAGCTAATTCGATCTTGTACTACTGACAGCATTTTTTTGCTCATTCTTGAGTTGTCCATTAGGGGTAGCAGCAGTTTTATAGTCATTGTCAGGTGCTTTTATCACTAAGAGTCTGAAAGGTTCAGTTGTTTTCCGAAGTCTCTGAACAACAACAGCATTCTGCAACTTTGCTTCCTCCAGCGTGAGTGTCTCATCTTGCAGCTCTCGAAAGGGCAGGGAAGTCGTCAGTGTGAAGGGAACACTTCCCTCCGATCCTTGATACTTTGTTATGAAGTCTCTGACATGGCTTATTCTGAGAAGAAAATAAGAAAACTTGGCATTAGAGTTTTGGCACTGCAATCCCAACACAGACCATGTGCACAAACACAGCCACCACAGGATGAGAATGAGACACAACTTCATTTAATGCCTGATGGCACAGAATTGGAGGAATATAGATGGGGTAGTATCCTGAAATGCCTGATCCACTTGGGAGGCAAGGACTAAGGTTTGCATGCTCTAAGAGTACTCCCAAGGGAACAGGGATGAGCATCTTATTCTGAGCACTCAAATGCTTCACCATGGCTCAGACGGTATTTACACAAGCCTACCATTTCCTAACCAGCTGGTGGAGCTCTTATCTGAGGATTCTGTAGCCAAGAGCTAAAATAAAGATGCTTCCAGAGTGTGGCACATGTAGCAGAACTGTAATAAAAATCAAGAAGAAGGGTCTGCAAAAATTGTCTGGATAGCTGATACATTAACTAGGACCAAATATAGCCTCATCCTACCAAATGGTGCAGTGGTGAATTCACTACAGATTTAAGTTGCCTATTAAGGTGTGAAGAACCTTGCAACAAGTGAGCAAGACAGAGGTTTCGCTGCAGAACAATCAGGATTGACTAATTTAATTAGAAAATGAAGATGAGAGGATACATCTATCTCAATAAAATAAATGCAGTGTCAGTGTCCATTCCCCGGTCCTGAGACCAACTGGTAGACTCTGGCTACTGGCAACTTAACTTATCCTTCCTCTCTCCCATTCACAGTGTAGCCCATGAGGTTTACTGCCTCCTGGGAATGGTCCGTGACCTGAGCTAACATCTGAACCATGGCTAGATATCAACAGAGGAAGTGCTGGCTGGCTTGGGGGAGAGCCATCCTAACAGTTTAGCAGCACAGATGACCAAAGTGTTATGCCTCAGCCATACTCACTCACCAGGGCAGATTTGCCAGCATAATAAAAAACAATTCCTGTGCACGCAGGCCTCCCTTAAGAGACATTGCTTGGTCTTATAAGCCTAGAGCCTGAAAAGCCTCAAGCAGGACTAAATTTTTGGTTGGACATTTACACGTGTCTACATGCATTATATCAGAGCTCACTGTGTTCCAAGAGCAACTCGCAATTAGCCACCGGGTCTCTGCTTTAGAAAGTCAGCTTTCCAGGCTCCATACCCAGTACTCCAGGTTCACGCTAACTTAGCAAGTGCTCAAGAAGGCACACAACTAGATCCAAGAGACAGTTAGTTCTGTGTGCTATTCCTACAGCTCTACTTTGCTAGTTGCTACACTCTCATGTCTTGATTCCCCATACTGCAGTTCTACAGTGGTACCTGCACTTCTGCAATCTTACAGCAGAAATCAAGTCACATCTAAAGCAGCAGTTATTGTGGCACATACACGTTCTATCTGCAAAAGGGTAGAAGTAATCAATTTACCCAGACACTACAACCTATGTGCTACATGTTATTAATCTATAGTTTAGTTAACAAATAGTTGACTATATTCTGTGTCTCCACTGAAAAGGAGTGCTGTGTGTGCAATCATCACACTTAAGGATATGTACTCTAAAAGGATTTCCCTCTAGTTCTTATCGGGTCGTACACAAATACTGTATATAGCACAAACATGCTGGTCTTGTGGCAAGAGGGTATGTTATAATGGAATATTTATTGCATGCTACTTCAAAAAGAGCATTGCATCTGTAAGGCTGTTGTCCTGCTTATCTCAGATGTTTTTTTTCCTCTCAAAAGCATTTAGCAGCTGTTCAAACTGCTATTTTTCATGAAGACAGAAAGCTTCTAAATACACTTAAATGTGTGAAACCTGGAATAATTAAGATATTAAGCCCTCCAATTAAGTATTTATAATTAAAACAGCAATTGACCCTTCAGCAGTACATCATAACACTCTTTCAGTTCATACCTCAGGCCACTAACAGTAATAAATAAGTACAAGTCAAAGAAAAAACTACAGTCATTAACCTTCGACTGCTGAGCTTTTCTTCTGACCAGCCACAGACATATACAGCTTATCTTGACAGCAGCCTGGGTTGTATTAAATCTGTGATACCTTCAAATTGCTTCACAGAGAAGCATAGTCAACATATCCTTTACATGACATGACCGTATAGTGCTGGAGTAATTTCTCAAATTACAGATTTGAGAAAGGTCTCTAAAGACAGTAGTTCTACAATTGAATGTTAAAAAGTGTTAAACCTACTTTCTCAAAGCTCCTGCATACATGTGCTGTGCTGACACCTTCTGTCATTATCCAATTTATAAGCTTCCTTGGGAACTGGATGTTTTACTAATTAATAATTAAACACACTGGGTGCATTCTATTCTGTCCATGTTGACACGCTGGAGATGAACTTCCCCTGCCCAGTGCACTGACTCTGGCCCTCCCTAGAGGTTTCTCTGGCTCAGTTCTAAGTCACATTCTCCAGCATCCACCTGTGGTGCTGTCTATGCCCAATGACTAGCAGGTTTTTTACTAAGCCATTTGCTCCAGATGTAGTTGTTTTGGGAAATCTGTAATCTTAAAGCTATTTCCTCTAGTAATGAGCAATACCACCCTAACTTCCACTAACCTAGAAAGAACTCCTACAGTTTCCTCAGATTTTCCTTTATGCTCAGTTATGAACTGACTACTAATATCAGTTCACATTCCTCTTATGCTCCTCTCTTCTCAACTAATAGATTTCTCAAAATTCAAAGGTTTTCTAGACACAGCAGTCCAACACTAAGTGAACTGAGGAGACAGATTATCCACAGAAATCAGAGACTTATGTGTACAGGCATAACACAAATAGTTCAGATGTAAATATATATGACAGTGCTAAAATACATCTTACCTGTGAGAAACATTGAATTTCTGAATGATCCTTTCCCCATCAGCTAACCAGATCTGGATGTTAGTGATAGGCTCCAAATCATTCAAGGGTACTAAAGGCAGGTGCCTTTTGTCACCAGGTCCTTGATGATCATCTCTCACTTTAGAGATTATCCTTGGAGTAGCACTGAAAAGAAAAGTCATGTGAGGTTATGGCTTCTGGGTACGCATGTAAGCTTGAACCTCCCTCCAGACCTCTGCTTCTGGAGCTTTCTGCCCTGTACCAGGGTGCACTGATGACTTCTTATTTTAACAAATTTAGGAACACCGACATAAATATCATCTTTTTTTCAACTGTATGCCAATACTTTCATTTAAAGACTTCAACGTGCTAAAGAATTTCAGTTTGCTCATATTTAACATTTTTATAAGACTGAAGGATTAAATATGAATAGACAAGAGACAAAACAGTCTGAAGATGCTTCATGCATTTTTGTACTCTAATCACACAGGTGAAACTTTAAGGGGGTTGAGTACTGAATTTGCATACTCAAAGTTAATTTTCACCGTAATGTGATTACAGTAATTCAATTTAACTGAATGTTGTTAGCCTTGATTTAGACTCCAGCATCATCTATTTCAGCTTAGAAGAATTACTCATCTATCAGAGCAATTGACTTAATGTGAAAAATCCAGGCTGATGCACACAGCATTTGGATTTTATTTTTCTAAGGCCCTTTCTACAGCCAACCCTCCCACAGGGGCAAAGACACACAAGATGACTTGACAGAATACAGGGATCTCAGTCCAAGACCATAATCTTAAAAATCAAACAACAGAAAAATTACTCGCAAAAAGTTTTATTCTGAAGAAATGTCTAGAGCTTAGTGCTTTCATGACTAAGCCTTTTCAGCATGTACTGTTTAAGTCATCGTCAGGGCTGATCCAATGGGCACATCCTCAGCTCCCGTGAGTATAACCAGATGTTTGCTTGCAGAGCAAGAGCAGTGACTTAAGGAGTCACCATTTCTCTTCTGGGCTCAGCTGTGGTCACTGACTACATGAACACTTAGCAGTGGTTTGCAGAAAAGCTTTCTCCTTGCACAGAAAATTGATCAGTTACAGTTTCTTGAGAGAGAACTGGGTAACTGATGGCCATAGAACAATAACTATACTGCATATCTGCTTTCTTATGTTCTTGTACCTGTCTTAGTTTAATCATAAAGCAGAAAAGTCTTAGCTAATTTATTATTAAAACAAAGATGGCTAACAACTTAATATATCCAGGCTAATAAAGTTAGAGTCTTGGGCTCAAGTTCTTAGTCTGAGGTATTTCAAAAACTCTTATTTCCCACTGCCTAGTTAAGTGCTGCCCTAACTTCTAGAATATCAACCAGTAGAGACACCTTTTATTTCTTCAATTGAAACTCAGCAAAAAGAATGAGGATCAAGAAATCTCATCCCCAAGTGAGTGGTAAGAGCTGTTCAGTGTGACTGGAGGCAGATAAGAGACATTGACCTGTTTTGGATTACACAGAAATTAGCTGGGCCACAAGAACTTGGCACCAAGAGGCAGATCCGTAAAATATTCTGGTCTTCCAAGTACAGGTGACTTACTACCATCCACCTGCCTCACTATCTCACACCCAGCTTCTGTTCATGCTTGACCTCAGTACAGAAGAAGACTTAACTGCCCTCTAGATCAGGATGAAAAGCTTGAGCACCAGCAAGACAATGTTAAACAGTCTTGTGAGCCGAGCAAAAAAAAAAAAATTTCAAGTCATACTTCAGTCCAACAATGATCAACTTTTGCTGTCTACTTGCTCAGTGGTGTTCAGTTCCCAGCTCAGACACTGCAGCACTCGTGCACAGCAGAGGCTGCAGAGGTGCTCAGCTGTGCAGCTGCCTGTGTCTGGCCCAGCCTGGGCTGAACTACATCAGTCACAGCTGTAGCTCAGAAAACTGTCTCCCATGGATACAGATTCTGGTGTGGTGTCATTCTCAAACCAGCTTCCCTCAAGGTCATATCTCAATTTGTGGTAGACACTGGAGATGATTCTTTCAATAGCAAGTGCGTGTGAAGCTGAAGCCAACACTTTATTGAAGCTGCAAGAGTCAGAAGAACTGTATTCATCAAGGTTTAAAGCATTTCTATATATAACAACTTTGCTCTTGAAGAACTGACAGATAAAGCCATCTAGTGGTGAGAGCTTTGACTAAAGTCACAAATTAAGAATCTAAGTCTCTTCTTAGGCTGACATTGAAGCACTGCAACTCCTTTTAAAGGCTTACTCCTTTTATAAGATTATCAAAAGAAGATGTAAACTAAAGATTGAAGAGGTATAAGAGCATCCTGTCAATTTCCTGACAAGAAAAAGCCCAGGAGTGAGGTAACATGACTTACCCTGACTGATGCTTAAGAAGCTTGACACACAGTGCTTTACCCTAATGAGGTTATAGAGCAAGCCCACTTTGATACAAGGGATTTCAGTCAATAGTTTAATTAATGTATTTCTGATGCAGTCATAAAGATGCATTGATAAACTCAACAGAGAAGTGCAGCTGTAAATCTAGTCCAGCTGTAAATCTCAAACTATGAAATGCAGCTGAATGGTGGTAGATAAAACATAATATATCCATTAGTTATACAGGTTTATAAGGTACATTGGAAAATTTTGGTAAGTCTCATTTGTTTCTCCTGTAAAACAAAAAGTGGAAGATCAAGCTCATCTGAGCTGTATCAAAATACTTATTTCTAGTTCTTCTAGTTTTCCTCCAACAAAAGTTTTAAAGAGCCAGCCAACAGACCAATTCATAATGGTTCATGCACCACAAAGTTCCTCCACCTACGATCACTGGCAAAATAGACTAATGAAGTGGTTTTTTGATAAGCAGAAGTTTAGATAGGCAATAAGCTGAAATAAACTCTTCGGTCATTTGTCTCTCTCATTTGTAACTAATCACACAAATGCAACTGTGGAAAAGGAGTTCTATAGCTTAAAACTTGTTCCAGGTCTCAGCCAGCTCTACTCCATTAAGCTTTTCTGTTGCAAGTGTAGCATACACATGCAACGGACATTTATTAAGAGCAGGAACTGAGCACTAGTCTATGGAGTAGGAGCACTTATTGCTCATGTTTCCAACATCAGCAAAAATATTTACTTGTCTTTAAAGAACAGGCTCTGATAGCATAGCACAGAATAGACTAGAAGAGTAGAAAAAAAAAAGAAATGCTAAGCAAGTTGTAGGATTCAATGTACAAGACTCAGTGCACAAGACCAGTCAACCGAAATTCACAGATAGCATGTTTCCAAATCCTAACTTGCCTACTGGGAAGCAAGATCATTACTTGCTGTAGGCATGGCAGAGCAAAACAAGCAGCTGAACAACCTACCATTTAGCACTGGTTAGCAGCAGAAACCCAGCACACTGAGGATCTGTTTGGTTTTGCTACCTACATAAAATAAGGTTAAGTTCTTGACCCTTGTTTGCTCAGGATTTCAGTGCCACCAAAAGAGAGTCTTGCAGTGTCTCATCCATCTCTCAAGGGAAGGTTTTCCCTATTGACAGTATCTACTCAAGCATGGAGCAACTGAATTGACTGTGCTACTGGAACAGATGCAACTGATAAAACAGATACTTGCTTCTCTGAAGCCTGGAACCACTCATCCTTTACTGTTATCAGGCTCCAGTTCTGCACATTATCTTCTTCCCCTGCCTAGGTCACGTTTTCCCTTAGCACGAGCACGGGGCCTTAGCAGCCAAACCCTTCCCACTTAATTGACACAAGCTGCTCACCTAAGGTTTCACCATAGCCTACAACCCCAGCCTGCAGGTCACTCAGCAGTCCCACCTGTGGAGGATCCTGTAGGCTCCTGGTCACTGAAAGTGTCCTGTTCCCTAAGCTCAAGCCTGCTTTTATAGGCACGTAAATCTTTCATGACAAGAATATGTGAAGCAGATAATCTGGCTGGAGTAAAGAAAAATCATAGAGATCAAATACATGAACTCCTGGCCTGTCCCTCTACAACAGCTGGCCAAAATACAAGCACAGTTTTAGCACTGGCCTTAGTGGCTGACACTCTCCAACCACAAGAGAGACATGGCATAAAGAGGATCACTGTAACATGCTAAAATGCCTTAACTGCAACAAACGCATGATTAAATATGGAGCAATTTTAAGAGAACACAAAATAACCTCTTAATTCTTCAGTTTCCTTTATGGGATTGTCATACTCCCCTCTTCTCAAACATAAAGCTTTAAAAGAGATTCTTTTCTCTTAAGTCACAGAAGAGCGACAGCCTTTCAGCTGGAAACACTTCTGCTAATATTGTGAGTTCAAACTAAAAAAGATACCAGCATCCTGTCTGTATTAACACAGCAACATGGCCAATTATCCCCCCAAGCTCCAGGTTTCATGGAGAGACACCAAGATCGCTGCAGGATGGAGCATTCACCCTCAGCATTCACCTCAGCAGAGGCTGAGGAGAGATGTTCAGCCTGTGGATGATGGTGGTGGTCATGGGGCACCTACAAACAGCCTGTCAGGGTCTGCAGGAGGCCATCAGGAGGAGGGGGCCAGGCTCTTCATGGAGGACAGAAATTCAAACAAGAGACATTCAGACTGGATATAAGGAAAAACTTCTTTCCTACAAAGACAGTCCAGCACTAGAGCAAGCTGTGCAGCTTTTCACTCTTGCAGGATTTCAAGACCCAATTGGACAACAGCCTGAGCAACCTCATCCGCCCCTGCAGCTGGCCTTCTTTGAGCAGGAGTTTAGATTAGAAAATTCCAGAGGTCACTTCCAACCTGAATTATAATCCTTAACCTAGGTACAGTTCCCTTCAACTACTCAATCATAGAGCACGTCAGACTACTCACCTTCCTAATCTGTAACCGTGACCAGAAAAGGGATGAAACACTGGCTTTTTCGATGACAAGTACACCTTATCTTTTTTATCTTCCACTTTCACATCTACCTCCTCCTTATCAAAAACTTTTCGTAGCTCGAAAGGCAGTTCCCTTAAAAGAAAAAGAAGGCATGTCAGATAAAGAACAACAACTATACTGTTTTCAGTATACAAAATAGATTAATGATTAATACTTGTTCTACATTTAGCCTTTCAAGGATGATGCTTTAAAAAAAAAAATCCCAAGAATTTACTAAGAGTTATGTTAAGTGCATGGCATACAAACAACTTGAAGTTCCTGAACTGCAAATTAACTAGAAATGGAACAATAAAAAAAAAGTTTGTTGAATGATATTCAAGTTTACTCAGCAGTTACCACTTTTAAGGACAGGATGTGTAGGAAGCTGAGTATTGCCGCACATTGCTACAAAAAGGCTGAATTATTTTATCCCTATAGTAAAACGAAAAAAAAAGACAATTGGCTTTTAAAGAGAAAGAACTGAGTTTAGACACAATGTAGTTAATTACAAAAAACCACAGCCTTTAAAAATTAGATCATCACTAATAGCCACACTCTTTAGTGCAATAACATCACCTTGGTGATGCTTTAATTGCATTAAGCAGAAAACAACAATGCCTTTGTCTATGAGCTCTGATGCAGACGGTACAATTTGGGGTGGAGGGGCTCAGCTGGCAGAGGGGCTGTACTAAGTGCTTTCTCTACCATCGATGATTATGCAGGAGCCATCCCATAATTAGCATCTTCGCAGGAAAACAGTGGAAGAAAGGTGGCAAACTTCTGATGAATGCACACAAAGAACACAAAGAGCTTTAAACAGTGCAGTTAATTGCTATTACAACTAACACAGATGACAGCCATAGAGGAGAAATAGTATAAAATCAGTATTTTTTCATAGGCTAGCAAAGTATGGAAAAGAAAAATACAGTGGCTTAGTAATTTCACACGCTTGATAAGGAGTTATTGAATTATATTATCCTCTCCATCTGTATGGGGTGAGAAAACAGACTACAAATTAAAGGTTCAAAATCACGTTGGTCTGTATGGGCAACCTGCTTTCTTAAAGCAACAACTGCAAACACTAGCAGAAATCAAGACAACACGTTAACTTTTAACACAAGGATAAAGACAAGACACAGGGATAAACATAAGATTTCTGTGTACAGGCAAAATGACTGAAATAGCGAGTTTGTACTAGGAAGAATGTCTGAAACTTAAGACTGACCAGAGTTTCTTGATGTTACAGGGACCATCTGTGCCCATTTAAGGCTTTGCACGAACAAAAAGAAAACAAAGACCATAAAACCAGAAATGCTCAACCACTTGTGCATTGAGTTCATTAGTCAAAATACCATTTGATCAGAAGCTCTTACTGGGCACTGATTTATTCTTTGTTTTGTTCTGCACCTGCTGTGCCCCCCACCAACACTGCCTTTTATCTATTCATCAGCAACTGCACACTACTGCCACTTAAAGCTGTATTACACCTGTTGATGTTCCAACAGCCATTAGCACTGCAGGAAGGAGACCAGCAGGGCCTGCGCTCCTACAGGGACACTGCAGTGCAGCAAAGCCAAGGAGCCATGTAAAAAAACTAGAGCATAAGCTAAGTGCTACCTGAAGCACATTAACTCAGGCTGGTTAAGAACACAAAACTTGCTTACCCCTTTTTAATGGAGTCCAAGAACTGCTGGTTTGCAACATCAGTGTAGCTCCGAAGTTCACTGTCATTTACCGTAAACCCGTTTTTCCAAAGTTTAATGATGACATCAACCTACAAAGTAAGGACGAGCCTCATTATAACGCTGATGTAAAAGCAGCTTGGTATACCCACAGTACCCTGTGATTATAAATCATCCACTCCATGGACTAAAAATACCGAGAGCAGGCTCACTGTAATCTGCCTTGGCCCCAGGCCAACAGGCACAGCAACTGCAAGGGGTAAGTGACATTTCTAAGGATCTTGTGTCAATCAGGGTTAGAAATAAACCTTCCCCCAGTCATTCTGCTTTCCCAGGTCAAGAACACTCCTTCAATTCAGAAAGGAGGAAAAAAATAAAAGAGCTGGACAATCCCAGCCAGCTGCAACTCCTCAAGAGCTAATTTGAGAGCACACATGCCTGGTGTTGGAACACCAACTGCCAAAATAGTCCAGTTGGGGATTTACCGGGGTAAAGCCTTGTTCTGGTCATTCAGGAAGATTTTCTCAAAGTAAAGGCATTGAGATAATGCATGCAGAAGCTTTTCACTCAGAAAATTCAGCAAGTCCCAGAAAATTTACTTTCACACAGTCATACATTTACGTTACCCTGGAATTCCTGGGTATATTTAAAACCTCGGAGTTAGGCGAATGGAAAAATAAATTCTCAGTGATTTGTTAACTTTGCCAGAAATCATCCACTACTCCAACTTGTAGCCTTCACACTGTTTACTAAAATCTCCCCAACTGTAACATGGATATATTTGGGACTGTATTTTCATATTTATGCACCATGCCATTTAAGGAAGCATTTGATTATCCAGGTCTGAATATTTCATATCCCTGAAATAACCTTGTCTTGACAGATAGTTGGCCACAGGTGAGGTATAGGAAGCAGATATGAATGCAGAATTCACCTCAGCTGGAAATTACTTTGAACTAGGCTTGATAGTACTTGACAATTTTATCCTTTTTTTTTCCTTTTTTGCATTTTGACTTGTTAGATGATTGCTACATAAATAAACAGGCATGTGCAAACTGCTGAATAAAATTCCTTCTCTTTCAGTTGGGTAGTCTGTCAAAAAAAGTTTACAGCACTCAGCAAGATTACATTCTTTCAAAAACTCTTGTGTCTTATAGCACCAATGCATGTGGAAGGAGTTCTAATTATGGGAAGGTTCCTTTACAGTGAGCCAGTATGCAAATTTAGCATGGGCTAATTATTCCACACCAATTTCCCATTTAGGCACAAGCAATGTCATGTAACACTATTTCAGAACTGCAATTTAACATACTGCTCCTGAAATTCCTTTTTTTCCCAGGTTCAGTTAGGGACTTGTGAACATAATTTCCAGCAATGCCCACTCCACATTTCTTCGTGACATCTTTGTTCTACATGGCCTTTTCTCCCTCCCCTTAGCAGTCTTTCATGAGTAACAGAAAAACTTGAAAAGGACAGAATCACCAAGATACAAACCCACACTGAACATCCCACTACCACCATAATTATATGAATAAGAGTAAAGGAAAAAATATGGGCTATGCCTCTGCATAAGAAGGCTGCAGCTCCTTAAATAACTTCTTATGTAATAGTAGTTGTCATTCCTTGGAACTTCTGCTCATGTCACTCTCCTTACTAATAAGGCAGAAGTGCATTAGCCAATGCCAGCATTAGTTCTAGAATGACACTAAACCCACTATAAATTAGTAAAAGCCAGAAGTACAGCAGCACAGGCCTGGCTGACTGAGAGATGAGAGGCTGTTCCTACAGCTCTCTGAATTCAGTGTGAATTTATTTACAAATGTACTGGATAAGACTGCTGGGCTTCTGGCATCTGTTTTCCAGAGTACCCCTGCAGTGCTGCTATGTTAAACGGGAGTATTTTTTCTTCACTGCCTACCTGATTCTGGACTGTAGTTGGGGGCACACACATAGCACCAACCTTCTGAGCTTCTTCAAACAGGTTATCTACAAAGTACTCACAGTTTTGTTCTGTACCATTCAAAATCTGATCACTGGTTCCTGATTTACACACCCTGCAGAACAAAGACACAAGTAAAAATGACTCCTCAGAGGATGCATTAGAGGATAAGCAGGTACCCCAGAAGCTCAGTACTAAAAGGTGTAGAAGGCTCACTCCCCTCCACCCAGCTTACTTGGCTGTTACAAAACATCAGGTCAACTTTGTGTTGTGCATTTTCTATAAACTTCTTCTCAGTCTCTTAACTGCTACTATTTGCACTTTAGAAGCAAAGTTAAAGAATGACAATAGAAAAGGTGAATTCATCTGTGCAAAACTTCTAAACTTGATATCAGAACAAGGAATGCAAGTTAGGTGATTCATACTTCTAATTCAAACCATCCAACATTTAACTGCACACCAATGAAGGGCCTTCCTCAAAGCATTTCCATGATATAGGCTTAGGTTCCTCTGCCACAGGTTTTAAAATACATATACAAGAAAATTGCCCTAGGATTTACTCCCCCACCCCCACTTGACCCTGCCCATTCCCAGCACCACCATCACTGTCTTGGAAAGTGCATTAGAGAAAGTCAAGTGACTCAACACCACTGGAGCACACTGAAGAAATACAATAGAAGCCTTCAACACTGTGGAGACTGCCAGGGTATTAAAAAAGATGCATCAACCACATCTTTTTATAGAACACTGTATATGTGACAGCTGTTTCTGTTAAATTTTTGCCAATCAAAATGCAGAAATATGCAACCTGAATGAATGATTATCTTTCAGTATAGGTTCTTTGCATAGTAAGAGGATTATGCAGCTTTTAGTAAACATTGCAGGAGTTATTCCTATTGGAGATTCAGAAAAGTCTATTTTAAGCAATTCAGGAAAAAAATCCCAGCTCTTGAAAAATACCCAGTTTCACATAAAACTCTGCATTGAATTCAGAAGCAGCAATGCTTACTGGCATGGTAATTTGATACATTTGCATAAAAAGGAATTGTTTGCAGTGCATCTGTGCCACACTAAGAATCCCTACAGATTAACATCTTTAAACAAAAGAAAACCTCAACAACATTAAAGAAGAAATTTCAAAAGTATGCTGTCCCCATTAGTTTTCTAACAGAACAAAAGAAACTTAAAGCATTAATGTAGGTATTCACTACACTTTACCACAGAAACAGAACTGGAAAACCAAACACCTCCACATCAAACGTAGAGCTGCACAGTGAGTTAGCAATTTGTAAGGCTGCCTTGCTTTTTTAAATAAAAATATTTACAGAGCTTCTTGCATCTAAGAAACATTTCAGGTATGTGAGGAATCTTTCAGCAAAATGATAGCATTTTTTTGAAATCTTCAGTACATGTGTAGTAAGTGGATAGAGAAAAAAATATTAAATTTTAGAATTTAACAAAGTTTGAAAGGTCATAACAGGACACAGACAGCAATGGGAAAGGAAGGGGGGGAAACAGGGAGGGGATAACTGGCACCTACCATTCTTTCTTTACAGTTTGGATATTGTCCATGTCTTTCATTCTGGTGCGCCACCTAATTACGGAAAGAAGATGGTTTAAAACCAAGCCAAACCAAAATAAAATGCCCAGCACACTTTCCCTCCTTTTGTAGCTGAAACACTACATTTTTTCCTGTGCAGATAATACATTTAACCAGAAACCTCAACCTCCCCCCCCACCAAGTCTCCAGATGGTTCTTTGTTTTCCTGCAGTTTCTAATTTAATGACACATGAACCACGCATCTGTTCCAGACGTTCAGAAGCAAGGTTACTTTCTCATAAACGTACAAGATACATTCCACAATAATAACACTGTAGATTGAAAATACATGCCCATACTTATGCAAGGCGAGGAAAAAACATCACACTCCTCCTCTGATCGACATGGTTTAAACTCCCCTGATTTTCCACAGCACTATGAGATGGTTGCAGAAAAACTGCACTGCCACTGCAGGCATTCAGTGACCTTCATCTTAACTGTGCATTACTGAAAGGGGCAAGATTTGTCAGGCTCCCCTTCGTACCTTACCTCAACATACTGGTGCAGCACCTCAGAAACAGTGAATTATCATTTCTGGTCTACCATTTAGCTGCCAAGCAAATCCTGGATTTGCAAGTACTAAATATACTACAGGATTAGTCTGCTGAGTCAAAATAAATGAAGAATCCCATATTGATCTCATTATAGGTGCTCATTCTTGAGCTCTCTGAAAAAAGTTACAGAATGTCACAAAAAGCCAGAAACTGCTAAAAAATCCTTAAAAAAATAAAACCACTCTGAAATTGTGCAACAGCCCCCCCCCCCCGAAAACAGAAATTTTAAGTTGCGACTGTGTTCAAAGAGTTATTCCCGAAGGCCACTGGGTACAGGTTACACAGATGATGTTCTCCTCCTGCAGGTCTGGGACTCAGTCATGACATTGTGTGTGGCTTTTAGAGAGCATCAAACTAAGCAGTGACAGCCATCATAATCCTGAAAAAAGTAGCATGCACAGCAAGACTAATATAAATTTTAAGTGGCCTTGACATCTAATTTAACAAGACAGAGAGGTTAGGGCAAAACAACATGCAGCACTGACCAAAAAAAAGAAAACCTACATCCAGTTATTCAGAAGTAATTCATATTCCTCCAGTTTTAATATTGGTATTCTTTCATCTTTAAAGTTAAATCCTTGTGAGACACATTATGTAGAAAAGTACATAAGTCTTCAGAAAACCCCTATAACGACCAAAAAATTTGGTCAATATGCACATCACAGGTTTGAAAGGTAAGACAGCCTTAAATTTAACTGATGCTATTATGTATTAGGTCAAAACAGCATACTTTGCACACCTTTGACATGTCACACAGGATCAGGGTCAGTCTTCTTTTTTTTTTTCCCCTCCTACAAATGTTCTGCCAGAGCACTGTATCTACCAGGCAAGCTTGTGCTGGTACATGATGACCTTATATGCATATCTGATCGTTGTTCTTGGAACTCTGTACTGCATTTGTTAAAAAAGAACTCTCGGTATGAAGTAAGCAGAGTGAAAGCAAAGTGCTTAAAAAGTATAATTTTTTCAAACTTATCTCAAATTCAGCTTTAACACACTCCAGCACAAAGTATTTTTTTTGTGTTTAGTCCAACGTAATTTTTTGTAGTTTGTGTTAATGTGCTTATCTTCTATAGTCTTTCACTCCAGTGGGCTACTCCCCAAAGCAACAAGAGCCACCTCCTGCCATCTGCTTTTGTTGATTCTCTGTAACTTGTCATCAGAGCTGTTAAAAAGAGACAGACACAACGAAGCAGCTCTTCAAATTAGCTCTTTGGCTACATTAGCCTGGCCTCAAATGTGCGTGAATGTTATTCAAAACTGGTCAGCTGTGAAAACTGCTGTTCCTTCTAAAGTACAACAGCAATTATACTTGGAAGAAATGTTTGCATTAATCTCTCAAGGTGAAGAAATCATCCTGTATAGCATACTGATGTTTATTATGACCAAAATGGCAATCAGAACGCGCTGCAAGCACTTCAGCTCAGCACGTCAACCCAACCAACACAAACCACCTCTCCCACCAACTTGTGACAGGCATCCCTAGTTGCCACTTAAAATGTTAAGAATTTTGGTACTTATTTTTTGCATCAGTGACAAGAAGTACCTCAGAACCAAACCTCCATCTCCGGAAACTAAATTTAAAACACGGGAAGAAGCTGCAGTTGCCAGCAGCCCACCACAGCTACATCTAGTAACTGGGGTAGGACACTCCTGGCCCTTCCACACAGCTCTAGGGGGTCTCCAGCCCTGTGACCAGCCCCACTGGGATGGGCCACTGACCCAGTGTGGCTTCACAGCCAGAGCTTCCAAAGAGGCAGCCCTCAATAGATGTATTCGTTTTGGCAAATAACTCTGCGGTTAATACAGCTGAGCCCACACTTCCAGTCATTTTATTGCAAGAGAAACAAACCAGAAACTACCTGTGATGCTTCCCTGGCTGTGAAGGGCAGAAATACCCATACAAGCATTCGCAGCCCTCTCCCCTGACAGCCTGCCTGACAAACTTTGGCAGAACAAGCTCCTTGAGTGGAGAGCTGCTCCCAGCACAGCACTGTCTATCTCTGCACCACACTGAAATCACGGCTGAAAACTGCTCTGTACCGTGCCACAGAGAGACAGGAAGCTCCAGGGAAATGGCAACTGCAAATTAATAGCAAGATGAACATCAAAGCTAATGGCCTGAATGTGACTGATGTGCTCAGGTACAAACCACAGCATTCACGCTTCCTCTCCAGCTGGCTAGAGGAGCTGTGCACTGGGAAAGAAACCTGTCCCCTCTCTTGATGTCCAGGTGTTAAAAAGATAAGTTACTTGTCTGTAGAATTGCCCTGTTAAGGCTTAGGACTTGACATGCTTCAATGACCTCAGTCCTAAGGAGTGGTTAACTAAGCTTTGGGAGAAGGATGTACTGATAGTGGACACAAAGAAGGCAGAGTTTATGGGCCACAAGGACATTATGCAGAACACCCAAGATAAGGAAGAAACTAACAAAGCCAACTCAGCAACAGTGCTGGAATCAGCTCCAACTGGGTAAAAGGTAATAGGTAATTCTGGCAGAGGGATATCGTGACCACCAACCAAAGAAACCCACTAGCCCAAAAGAAGAGAAAGACTGAGCATGCAGACTAATAAACATAAGAAGCAAGACAATCATTTAAGCAATAAAAGATAGTACACTCATTAATAAGAGAACTATGTAACTTGTAGCAAAGGAACGTTAATACCTCTGTTTGCTAAAACGTATAAATAGCGAAAAGTTTTGACAGTCGGGCGCTGGCTTTGCGGATTTGCCACCCAGCCCCCCCTTCTGCGCAGAACCGCAAATAAATCAAATACCTCGGCTCTGTATAGGGACTGGCCTCTCGCACTCTGGGTGAAAGACTCTATTTTGGGACAACACCGCGGCTGCCAGCAGCTGAACTCCCCCGCACCCCCAAGCCAGGCCGGGCGGGCGCTCCGCGCCTCCCGCCAGCGCCGGTGCCCAAACCCGCCCTGCCCAGCGCAGCTCCCGCCCGGCGGGCGGCCAGGAGGTATTTTTAGGCGATGAGGCAATACCGCGGTAGCGACGCAGAGGCGGAACGCCCAGTGCGCCCGAGAGGGGCAGGGCAGGGACCCCCCGGGGAACGCTCCCGCCGCCGCCCCGCGCGGGACGCGGCCGGTCCGGAGCGGGGCGAAGTCTCCGGGCAGAGTCTGCGGGAAGGTTCGGGAGGCTCAGCCCGCCCGCCCCCGGGGCGGCCACAGGCGAAACCCGAGCGCCAGCGGGAGCCGAGGGAGCGGCAGCTCTGCGGGACGCGCTCCCCCAGCCCGGCCTGTCCTATCCTGTCCCCGCAGCGACTCACCCGCCCGTCCCGCAGCGCCCGTCCCAGCACCGCCCGCCCGCCGCGGAACTCCCGGTGTCCCGCGCAGAGCGGCGCAGGCGCGGCGGCTCCGGGCGGGGCGGGCACAGCTCAGCTCAGCTCCGCCCCGGCCCCGCGGGGAGTGCCGGGCTGTCCGTATGGATCCGCACCTGCTGCGCGGGGAGTCGCGGCGTCCCCTGGGGCTGCGCTGTCCTGCGGGGAGAGGCGGGGGCTGGCAGGGCCTATGGCCCGAACGGGCCGGACTCCCCGCGCCGCTGCGGCGGTGCCCGGGCAGGACCTGGCGCAGCACCGGTATAGATACAGATATATAGAGGGATAAACCTCTGTGCCTGGCCTGCGGCTGCCAAGGCAGCTCTGTCCCGACAACAAAGTCCGTGTGTCCCTCTGTCACACACCCACAATCGCGGGGGATGGTCTCGGTGTCCGGGCGCCCTCAGCGGCCCCCGCGCTTTGTCCGAGCAGCCGCACGCGCGGCCCTTTGGAGAGCGGGAGTGTCTCGTGCGGCGGACGCTAATTAAGGGCGAGTGTTGACATACGAGAAAGAGGAGCTCAGCCGAGGCCTCGCACCGAGGACAAAAGAGCGGCGCGGTGGCTGGGAAGCAGAGACCCCCGAGGGTGAATCAGACTTGGGAAAATGGGATGGAATCCTTAGGGAAGCAGGAAGGATTGAGCAGAGTTCCCTGCGCTGTGCTGGGCCTTGGAGAAGCCGCTCTCTGCGGGACGGTGGTGCTAGGAGCTATCCAAGGGCAGCCAGCACCTGGAAAAACACGGAGCAGAGTGAATGCATCGCCTGCACCTGCATGCTGTTTAATAAGGGTTGGGGTTTTCAGCCCCCAATCATTAGCGATGCACTATAAAACATTTAAAATTAACCTAAATTGAACAGCCACAACTTGCTAATTCACAGTAATTAATGGGAAATCCACTGCGAATTTGCAAGTGCGATCAAAGGTAATTCTAAAAGCAGAGGTAATACTTCATTGAGTGTCATCCTCACGTGGGACACGTTTCTGCAACCCCTTAATCACAACAATTAAAATCACATCGTTCAGAAACGTTAAAATAAGATGCTTAGTCTCAAAGTTCAGTGACGGTGAGTAACAGAAGTAGAATCTGACACTTGACAGCTATAATTTCTTCATCTTTGTAATGTACGTCACAACGCACTAAATCTTTTGAAGGCAGTTTGGATTAATCGTTAAGTTTTAACTGGATGAGTTATAATTACAGCTCCTCTCTCTGAATCTTCAGGGAAAACAGTAAGAAATTTGGCTTTTGTTTTGGTGTAAAATATGTAGTCTTATATTTCAAAATATGGATTGCTGAGATTCTCTTCTCCCTGGTTTTGTATAATGCTTAAAATACTTTGACATTTTTGAATAGAAGGCACTTGTTTGTTACAAGGGTTACCAATTCCATTAAATGAAGTTTTATATATTTAGAACTTAAGCCATGAATATTGTAGCACTGCTGCAAAGTTCAAGGAATTAACAAAACCCTAGCTAAAACATCTGAGGGTTGTTTTGCAATGCTGGACTGTTTTATATTTTCTTTCAATATTTTAAGTACACTGACTCCATTTCATTAAACACATAAATTCAGTAATGTATTTAACCCTTCCCTGGGGGTCGTTTCTGCAACAATTTTGCAGACCCAAAGGTAAGCATAGGAGGCAGGATTGGACTTACCTGGTGTAATGGTGGAGGCGTCCCAGCTGCAATCACATATTGATTTAGAAGATTAGGTCTATTACTGGAAATCAGGATACAGCTGGAGACACACTGACCTACTACAATAGTAACTGGTGTCCTAGTGAATTCAGTGGTTTCTTAAAAGCTCTTATAAGTACAGCTGTTCTCCCTCATGACTGAAACTATTGAGAAAGCATATGAGTAAGAAAAATCTTAAGATCTTCAACACTCATATAATGTAAAAAATAATTTTTTCTTAAAAGCTGGAAATTTTCAAGAGTGTTGTTGCAATCAAGACATCACTGAAATCCTTTTAGGCTCTGCATTTCATACAGCTTATTCTCTGGCAGTACACGAGATGAACAGAAGCAAATGGTCCTTTTCTTACCGTGTGGTGAATAGAAGCAAACAGCCCAGACTGTGTCTGCTGAAAAACCTCTAACAGGGTATTCATGAGATGAATACAACCATCTCATGCCCCTTTGTCAGGAGAGATCAGATGCACTGGTGTGGAAGATAGTGACAACCCCTGAACTTGTTTTATAACGTAGGAGTGAATCTCAGTGTTGACAAAGTAAAGCAGGGTTTTAGCTGCCACTGCCTGTGCCATCAAGGTCATGGAAGAACCAGCACACACAGGGTGTCTAAAAACAAGCAGAAAATTAATTTTGAAGGGATATTTTTAAACCATATATTTAACAAGGTTAACCCGTGCCAGAGGACACCGTCACCTACCTATAATTAAACATCAGCACATCAGCTGTATTGATTGACCTTAACTTGAGATAGCAGTTGTTGCCTGAAGCCTTTTGTAAGTGTGTGAACACGGAGCTGGAACAGACTGGGAGGGAACTGGGACTGCAAAATAAATGGGAGAACAGGATCTGGTTATTCTGTACTTGGCTATTCCACTGACAAAGACAGCACATTCCTCTGCACAGTGTCCTTTTCCTACATATTCCTTGAAGGAATGTTAAACCGTCTAGGCTACCACACGGGGAGAAATAGCTTAAGGAACCAATGTTTTTGGGAAGTCAGCTGTGCAGTGGAAAAGCGAGTCATTGGAGACGTTGGGTGAATCAGCAATCCTGATGAGGGTGTTACCCTTATAAATTGGAAGGAGTATCCACACATATTGCTGGACACTGGTACTGTAAATCCACAAGAAAAGTGAATATAGCTTCAATTTTAAAAGTAGTGTAGAACGCATAAAACCATGAAAAATTCAAGGCAGCCTGAGCAAGTGTTTGCACCAGATAACACACATTTGGAAATAACATATCATGTGAATTCTCAAAGACACTCTTAAGTGAAACTACAATGATGGTATGGTAGTGTAGTTTATGAACTCGTTCTTGGATCTGTAACAAGGAAACATACTTTGAAAGCTAAGATTGTGTGTGAGGACTAGGGAGATTTATGAGCCAATAATGTTTCTGATGGACTTGCCATGTGATCCTAATCAGGCCATTCTGCATTCTTATGGTGCTAAAGCTTATCTACACATGTGTTCATAAATGCCTATTTTTATTGTAAGCATTTTAGGACAGAGTCTGGTTTTTACTACAAAGCTATACATCACCCAGCATAGTAACAGGCTGGCGGTGCTACTTTCATATGATTAATGATTATAAGCACCAAAGTGAGATGATTTGCCATTTTTGTCCAAGATGGAAGTAATTTACAGCCTGGATGATAGTGAAAAACAGACCCTGCAGATGCTTGGCTGCAATATCATCAGCCTGTGAGTTTCACACAATTATTATTATTAGAAAAACTATCCACTGTAACCTTAGCTCAATGGGAAAAATGTTATGAAAGCTAATGGCCAGATGTGATGGGAAGATAATTTCGAAATATTAGGAAGTAAGTTTTACCACTCCCATTTAATGTTATCTAAGAAGCCTACTCTCTGATCCCACTTCAAGTTACACTGATGTTATCTAGTGTGGAAAACAATCTTCAGATAACTGTGCTGATAATGGGGATGGACATTAATAATTTAATTCTAAAACATAACTCTTATCCATTTTTAAATGACAACGGTAGTCTTCAAATAATCTTTAACAACATAGCAAAATGCCTGCAATGTGGAGTGACTGTAGCACCTTCTGTGTTCAAGGCAGTACCAATCCTGACAACTGGACACTGCTTGTTTGACGTTTCCAAACTTACATCCCATAGGCATATGTTAATAATGGACAATTCTCAAAGGAATAAGCACACAATCTTAATTTCCTAACATGTCCCTCAGGGAAAGGCTCAGAGCACGTTTACAAAAGCAAAATCTCTTGTGAATCTTTTCTTATTTCGAGATTCAACTGAAACCAGGAGGAGCTGACAGCATGATTGAGAGGCGCACATATGAGCTTATAAATAGAGGCCTGAAAAGATGATTTGATTTCCATTCTTTGGAATGTTACAGCTATTCAGAGATATTGCAAAGTAATCTCTGGTAAATTGCCAATGATTGAAGTAAATGGTAACTCACTGAATAGAGCCTTCTGGTCCTTACTAGTCTGAAACTCGCTACAAAAGTTCTGAATAAGGGATGAAGGACTTCTTCTTTTGTTGTAACTGATTCCTGATTTCCTTCTAAAATAGGGACATGTGACAACAAAGCCTTCATCTCCAAATATTTCTTGTGTCATTAAATGCCACTCACAGAGTGAACAAGGCTTTCCATCCTGGGTAATTTTTTAACGTCTTTTTGCATCACAATGTCCCAATATGACTTATTCCATGAATCATTTTTAATGGCAAGGGACTCTTGGTCAAGTACTTTTTCATATTTTTCCAATTTTCTAGTGGTGTACCTGCCACAGCAGATGTTGTGGCTTCTTCTTAATACGTGTTTCAGGTATCTTAATCTCTTTTCTGAACAACTGGAGATAAAAGGATGTCGAACACTGCTGTAAGCTTTAGCATTCATTATCAGTTGGTTCCATTTGAAATATGGTCCTTCCCAATGGCATTTATTTGCAGAAGGCTTTAGATATCTGTCTGTAAGACCAAACTACAAATCTTGAAATTGAATCTTACTGGGAATGAGCTCTTCAAAATTTTTCTACATAATATTAGTGGAGTGTGGCTTCAGTCCTTCTCCCCTCCCTTTTTTCATTGTCTTTCACGAGTCATAGTTCTTACTTTTTTTCCACCAAAGCTTTTCCTGCATGTAGAGTGCTGAGGGGAGTCTAAATAGGCTTTTAATGCTGTTCTGTCTTCATATGACACTTGAACCAACAACAGATATAAAAAATGGGAACAAGTAAATTCTTGGATTAATGAAATTACTCTAAATCCCTTTCTACAATAATTCATCTTTCATTGTAAAACCACATTTAAATCTCTAAGTATGTGTGATATATTAATCCTATGTTAACATGTTCTCTGCACTAAAAAAATATCCAAGCAAAGCCACTGAGCAAACCTTTTAACTTATGATTGATTTATTTATATTGTCAGTACTAAAAATGATGATGGGGCTTACATGGAAGCTATAGAGCCGCAATCTGAGTCAAAATAACCAGCCACACCTTCTAAGAGGAACAAGACAACTAAGAAACCTGAAAATAAAACCATCTGTGAAAAACAACCCAGGGAGCAAACATCCAAAATGAAGTGTGTCTTTCCATGTTCCCTACCATGCTAACATAATGGCAATGAAGCACTACAAATGTTCAAAGCAGCGAGCAGGGATTTTTAACTACATCAATCCCTCTACAGGAGTAGTCCCTCCGGCGTCATAAAGAGGGCTCTCTGGGTATGGCTCACAGGAATGAGCTCACAAGACTAAAATAAAGAGGAAAAAAGGACACAGCTGTGGTATAAATATTTAGCAAATGTAAAAAAATAGCTTTTAAATTGAGTACTTTCTGTTGCTTCAAGCAGATTTGGGTAAGCACCCAGGAAAATCAATTTGCTCGCATAATGACCAAGTTTATTTTACTTTTAAAAAGTCATCAATGTTCATGAGAGGAGGAGTGCTGGTTTGAATCAGGCATGTTGCAAGCAGATGTTATGCAAGCTTCCTCAGACATCCCTGCCAATGACTGCAATCCTGAGTTATGACATTCACTGTAACTGCTGCAGTCTGCGCCCTTTTTTGGGCCACTCATCTGTTGGTTTTCCCAAACTGGGGATGATATTTTTGTGATGAATACAAAAACTTGAAGAAGAGCAACATACTTTTTGTTTCCAGACCAAGAGAACTTGAGAACCATGTCTGAGTTTCACGGCCTATCAGTAATACTGGGTAGAAATGGAAAAGTACATTATTTGTCATTATATATATGATTGTGATACTCTTATCAAACATATCTCCGGGTTCATTCCTACCATGTATATGGTAAAGGACAGTCTCTTGCAGTTCCTTCTCTTCCTTCTTTTGAAGGATGAAAGGAAGTGATTTCCAAATACCATTTTCAGAAACCCTTGTAGGTTTTTAATTATTTTGTCCTTTAGCCCATGAGTGTATGAAATGACTACATCCTTTCATAACCTTTAAACAAATAAATGAAGAAATAAAGAATGAAAATAAAAAAAATAAAAAATGAAGAAACCTACCAAAACCAATCTCTTGGAGCAGAACTACTCTACTTTTTAAAGATGCTGCAGATTCTGGGACAGGAGATGAAGTACTGTTGCTAATACAGATTAAAAGCTCTCAAATAGAGAATGTCAGATGAGAGAAAGACCACAGTTCCTACTCTGAAATCCACTGTATTTAGGAGTATCTCATAAAGATGAAAATTTTTTGCTATTCAAAGTAGGACTTTTTTTTGCTTGGATATTTAAATAGCCCATTTTCTTATTATATGTCCTGATGTCATTGTTGCATATTTTCTATTTTTAAGTACATGCTCTGCCATACTTTTTCAGACTGTAATCTTGGAAAGAAAGATGTGGGAGTACGTAGGTAAAGCAGGATAGTAGTTGCTACATTTATTGTTCTTTACTCAAAACATTATTGTGCTTTCCATCTTTAAACAATAAAAACAATTTGATAAAGCTTGCTTGAGCCTAACAGTCGGAACCACGTGACCACTAATTTAATTATACTATTCTTTTTTCTTAAAGAAGCAGGAAGCACTGCAATGACTTGCCCAGCTGTGTCAAACGAGTCAGTATGAAAATTAAAAGGTTGAGACTTTGTCACCTACAGCTGTGTGCTTGTATTACTTGGCTAGGTTTCTTTTACAAAGCTCTACGTTTCGGAGCTTGTGTGCAGGCACAGAGGTAAGTTCAATAAAGGGCAACAAGTGGAGGGAGAGAGTCTTGCTGTACATCAGCGTGAAGGAATTGAGTTCGTTAATAGTCAGAAGTGTTATAGTTTGTGAATAGTCTGAAAAGCATTTAGGCATCCGATGTCGGGTAATACATTGTATTCTTCATCCCTCTGAAATGTGGTTATTGGATCTGTGATAAGGAAGGTGAGAGAAAAATGAGCTTTCCAAGGACCGAGCAACAAACATCAAACGCAGGCTGAGGCAACCTGGCACAACACAGGAGATGTTATCGGTGACTGGTGCGACGGGAGAAGCAAAGGCACAGTCCCGATAGCCTGGTTATCAAGGGGATTCATTAATAGAGAGGCTCGCCACGCTGTGAAACAGTTTTCCACGGAAAATTACGGAGATCCCATCCTTGGGAGACGTGTCCGCCCAATATGTCCTGTCAGCGCCTGGGCAGAACTTCCCCGGGCGAGCAGAGCCGGCGGCCGAGCACCTTCTGGGCTGTCAGCGCTGCCCTTCACCCCCCGCGACCTCGGGCGGCCGCTCCCCCCCCGCCCTTGAACTCCCCATCCCTCGGCTCAGCCCTCAGGGGGCGGCGGCGGATCCCGGGTCACGCCGGGACAGGCCCGTCCAGCGGCTCGCCAAGCGCCGAGAAGCGCACTCTGGGGTTCTGTGGGCGCTCGGACCCCGTCACAGAGCCAGAGACAGACCTGGTGCCGGTGCCGGTGCCGCTCCCGGGGGACCCGAGGCCGCCGCCGCCTCCCGGGGCCGGGCCGGGCCCATAGAGCGCGCGGCGCCGGGATAGAACGGCCGCGCCGGGGCCGCAGCGCCCCCCGGCGGCCGCTCGCGGGGGCGGCGCGGAGCGGGCAGAGAAAGGGAGCGGGGACAGTAATGGCGGCCAGTTAGAGCCGGGCTGAGCCCGAGAGGCGGCGGCGACAGCGGCGGGAGGAGCCGGCGCGGCTCCGGCTGCGCCTCTGCCCGGCGGAGCGGCTTCCCCGGAGGGCTTTTCTTCCTTCCTCCCTCCTCCCCCCTTTCCCCCTCTCCCTCCCCTTCCCCTCCCTACCCGAGCCCCCGCCTGTCCGCCCTCCCTCCCTCCTCCCTCCGCGCCGGCGGCGGCGGCGGCGGCGGCGGCGCCCCCCGTGTCCCCCCTCGCCGGGGCCATGGTGAACACCAGGAAGAGCTCCCTGCGCCCCCTGGGCAAAGCGGCGGCCGCGGCGGCCGGGGCCGGCAGCCATTTCATCTCGTCCCGCACCCGCTCTTCCAAGAGGGGCACCAAGGCAGATGCGGCCGGGCTGGAGGAGGCGGCGGCAGCGCGGGTGAGCACCGGGGGGCTCACGGGCAGCGACGGCGGCGGGAGGGCAGCGGCGAGGCCGGGGAGTCGCTGGAGACAGCGCTGCTGGTGCCGGGGGGGCCGCGGGCAGCAGGGTCGGCGGGGGGCGGGTGCCCAGACGGGCTGTCGGGGGGACGGCGGGCAGCCCGCGGTGAGGAGGCACCGCGGAGCCGGCGGGGACGCGGGGGCGGCTGCGGAGGAGCCGCAGTCCCTGCGGGGTCAGCGGCGGGGTGGCGGGGGCCGCCGACAGGGGCGGGGGGCGGCGGGGACGCGGTCGGCGGAGCTGCCGCGGTGCTGGTGCCGGGCCGGTGCCCAGCGGGCGGGGGGTCCGGGGGGTCCGGCGGGGTCCGGCGGCGCGGGGCTCCCCCTGCGGCCGCGCCCGGCGCTGCCGCCGCCAGACAAAAGTTGGGAGCTGCGCCCGCAGCAACTTCGCAATAATCCTCGGCCCGGGTTTGTGTGCTGATGGTGTTTTGTTTTTTTTTTTTTTTTTTTTTTTGTTTTTGTTTTTTTTTGTTTTGTGTGTGTGTGTGTGGTTTGTGTGTGTGTTTTCCCCCCTTTTCCCTGAATGACCTCGATTCGGCCGGCGGCTGCGCCGGGAGCAAGCTGGTGTTTGGGAAAGCCCCCCCCCCCCACGCCCGCCCCGTTTTTGTGGCAAGGAGAGTGAGATTTTGCCGTCAAGTTTAAGTTGAGTGCTTTCCCAGCAGAATTTACTGTGGTAGCTTTGGTTGGACGGGCTGAATGGCAAGTGGAATTCTACAGCTGGATTTGGAGAATTTAATATTTGGTAAATTCTAAGTGGAAGAAAGAATTCGTGAGACTCTCTTCTTCCTTGTCTCTAGTCGGCTTTGTTGACTAGAACTGCGTTTTTGTTTTTTTGTGTTTTTAATTGGCACAGAATCAATTAGGTTGGGAAAGACCTCTATGATAATTGAGTCCAACCTTTGACCGAACACCACCTTGCCAGCTGGACCATGGCTCTAAATGCCACGTTCAGTCCTTAAACACCTCCAGGATCGTGACTCCACCACCTCCCTGGGCAGCCCGTTCCTAACCCTTTCTGTGAAGAAATTCCTCTTATAAGAGGAATTATAGGCAGGATTTTTTCTTTACTTGATGAAACTTCACGTGTTGCTTTGAAGGTTTAAACTAGTAGTTATAGTTGCGTGCTTTGCATGTATATTAGAAAAACAATGTAAATATGGAAGTGAAAATTGAGGGTCAGAAGGACAGTCCTGCATCAACTGGCCACATCCCAGCCCTGCTAAGGAGGAAGTTAATCAGACAAGCAGAAAAACAGCAATAATAGCTGGAGGCAGATCAGAAGGATGACACCTGGAATTCTCACAAAACCTTTTGCTCCATTCTTTTGGTCTTAAAATGCTAAACCCACCTCATATTACTGTCCAGATACTCCATACCTTCTGTGTTTCTCTTTCAGTTCTTTCATGCTTCACAGTTCTTCCCTTCCCCCATCTTACTTCTCCCTGTTCCCTATTTCTTCCTTGTTTAATTTCAGTAGACTCCTGGGGATGCAGCACCATAGCTGTAAAAAGCTGTTCTGCTTGTTCTAGTGTGCACTTTCTGTTTATTCATATCGTGGGTCTTGTGGTTTGTGAAGCAAAGTTTGGTGTAACCCTTACTGGCTTACTTTGCAGGGAGTTTGCTGCTGCTAAAAAAAGTAGCTTGGGCTTCTTTCCAAGTATTTTTAATCTGTGAATAGTATTTTTATACTACAAATCATTAAAATGTTTAAATTGTTATTTTCATGGTGTAAGGAAAGGAGATGGTGCAAAATAGTGCCAAATGTTGTAAATACTTCCCAGGATATTGCCCGTGCTTCTAAAAGAGCATTTCTTCTAAAGTTAAATGTAAATTTTGGTATATGGGAATAGACTTGTTTCACTGCACAACAAATCTCATGTGTTTGAGGTAGAATTTTTTCTTTTCTTTAAGATGTAATTGCCAAGTATGAGCAGAAGTTATCCAAGAAGAGTGTTTTGTAAAATATATATCTCTCACTGTATTTTAAAGTTGTCTTTGTACAACTCTTTTTATTCTTCAGATGGAAGTACTGTCAGCAATGCAACGTCTTTCTGAGCTTCTGAATCTTCTTGAAGTAGTGCCAGAGAAGGATCTCAGTGATTAGGACATGAATAACTGTAGCAGTAGGGAGACAAAGCCTTTGCTTTTGGAAGTGACTGTCGGGAGGCAGATAGTGAGGCTGTGTTCTGTGCAGAAGGCGTGCTGGGATCGTCTTCATGCAATTGTATGTAATTTTTTTTTTTGCAGTTGACTGGGACAGTGTGTCCTTTTAAAATCTTTTGGGTGTAATGTCAGGAGACCCAGCCTTACTACCAGCAGTTAAGTGGGTTAATGGGCAGCTCGAGTTTGGAGCTTTGGCAGGAATGGGATGCTTCTTATTTGCACTGTTTGACTTAATTTCCTTCCATGGAGGTCCTGACTTGGACACCCAGAGAAAATGCTCTTTGGTGGCAATGCTTGTGGCCCACCTTTCAGAATGTATTTTGAAAGCTCGTCTATCTCTTGCTTATTAGCAACAAAAACTGAGTTAGTAACCTAATGACATCCTGTATGATGCTGAGTAGACCAGATGAGGGGTTAGGAGTTGCCTTCCACCTCTTTTGTTCTATTTCAATTTTTGTCTCCTTTTTTCCTCTTGGCTACTTCTGGTATACATAGAGTTGTGGCTTTTTTTTTTTTTTTTTTTTTTTTTTTTTTTTTTGGTTGGGGTTTTTTTTGTTTTTTTTTTTGTTCCCCCCCCCATACATATACAAGGATAGGCTTGAATCTCTCCTTTCCCAAGAACTTGAGTTAAGTTTCTAGTCTTCTGCTTCAGTATTATGCTGAATTACGTATGAGCAGTGTGTGTTTTTGTTTGTTCTGAGTTTGGAAGCAACACACATTCTGTGGAAGTGGGCTGTAATAGTCTAAATGCCTTTATCATGTTCAGTGTATTCCCTCTGTAGTACTTGCTCAGCCCAGAGAAAGCAATGACGTCAGGCTTTGAAAAGTAAACTGGTTTGAATTATTGATTGGCGACCACGCAGTCAGCGATGAAGATGAATACATGTGCGTCTGTCTCCTGACCAGAAGCCAGATTAAAATGAACAAAATCCCTCACTAAATGGATCAAGGAGCCAAGAAGTTTATTGTCTGAGATGATGTCATAGCAGAGTGCATAGAGAGGGTATAGAGGGGAAAAACTGGCCTTTGTTTTCTTCCTGCATCTAGGACTGATTTACACACTGTTTAGTAGAAATTGAAGTTATGCTTACATAAATTTATGTTCAATCTTTATACAAATTATATGTATTTTTTTCTTTCTAGCCTTGAAACTTGGAAAATGTTCTGGCTTTATATTAAAGCATTCTGACAAGAAAAGTGCATCAAAATCATCTAAAGTTTTCAGAAACAGAATCGTAACGCAAGGCTTGTAAATCCAGTGGAATTCATTCACACTGTGAAAAAAATGAGGATAGTGTGACCATAAGTGGTTAAATTTGTGATTTATATCTACTAATGTCTGATGTTTTCAGATACTGAGTTGTGATTGCTGGTAACATTTGCTTGGCAATTGAAATGATTTTTCTCAGTCATCTCAAAACACAAATCAAAAATGTTGATCAAGAAAACTTATGAATTTATTGTGAAATAAACACTCTTAAATTATGTCAGCGTACTAGTTAGATATTTTAGAAATGTATACAAGATTAGCTTAATTTAATTAGCCAAGAAAGCATTAGCAGTGCCTTAAGAGCTACTTGAGGGCACGGTGATAATTGTAACACATGATCCTCGCTAAAAGTAGTGCTGCCAACATCGTTCAACTTGCTCAGTGGCAACGTAGAGCTCTCCATTGTGCTTAATTGCTAATGGGAGCAAACAGGGGCTGGAGGATTGACATCGGGTGCTGCAGTGTGGGAAGGTAGAAAGCTAAGCAGCATATTTGTGCTCTGTGATGCCAGTACATCTCAGCGTCTCCTATTGTAATTCCTCAGTCTGTAGCAATAGAAGTGTTTTCTGATTTCTGGGTGGTAATGTAGTTTTTGTAGCATAAACTCATTGCTGTGTTTTATTCCTTGAAAGGCCTTTAATGGTCAGCTGTTGAAAACATAGAAAAATAACTTAAAGAAATTATTATAATTTCTCTTAAAATACAAGTTTCAAATATAACCCATAGAGCCTTCTAAAAATTAAATTTTCCTTTACGAGACAGCCTGATTCAGATTAGCATGTTTTCTTTGTTGTCTATGCAAAATGTCTGGTAGTGTTCTGGATGCTCTGCTGTTTCGATTAAAACTGTAAAAAAGTTAGATTTTCCTCCTTTGCTGGATAAATGACACTTGCTGGCCACCTGCATGTAAAGCTCTTACAGGGAAA